TTCTCTTTCTATCATCCCTACTCACTGTCCAACTCTCTGGTGCATAGCACGTAATTGAGAGGACTATAGCCCAGATCAGGCACACCTTAGTCTCCAACCTGATGTCGTCACTCTTCAGTACTCTTGAGAGGTCACTCACAGCCGACTTTCCCAGTGCAATTCATCTCTTGATTTCCTGGCTGCTGTTTCCAAGAGTGTTGACTGTGGAACTAAAACTGTTAATTATCTCAATCTCTTCCCCATTTTATTCCTTAATTATTTCTCCCTGCCTCCAAAGTCTTTAAAATATCTCACCACTTCTTTATCTCCGATTCAACTAGGTCTTTGCCCACCTCCATATCTACTCTGTCTTATCTAGTCTGTCTAGAAAATAATAGAATAAAAAGTCATGTGCTCCAGGGATTTTTTTTTTATATTCAACTTCTTTAAAGAATAATATTTATCTTACCAAACATTTTTGTCTGGTTTTAGTCTGTTATGATTTGCAAGAGAATTCAGAGTACACCCTCTCTAATCTTTCTGCAGTGTTTTCAGCAACTGCCCCAAATCACTGTGTATCTAGAAACGTTCCATTCTCTGCATCTCCTTTGTGGCATCCACAAACCAAATCAAATGTCCTACTTCTGTTTCTGTAGCAGCTCTTCATCATCCCACTTCCTCCACTTTCTGTAGCCAATAGGCTACGCCATGCTCAGAGTGATTTCTAAGACTGTGTGTGGGTTAAAGCCTATCCTTCATATTCCCATTGCTCTGAGGATAAGAATGAAAACGTGAAGTTGACCTGTTAAAAGCATGCATGATCTGATTCATTCTCTCCTCTGTTGCCTCTTTTTCTACTCCTCTGCACTTGGCCGTAGCACTCTAGCCAAATGAAAAAGTAATTATTAAAAAAATAAATAGGATACCAAACCAAGTAAGTAAATAAGGAAAATTAATTCATAATAATAAATAATCTTTTTTCTACTTGACTCCACGTAGACTTTGAATGGATTTTGAAGAGAATTTGGATCTGACTCTTAAATATCCTGTGACTCAAGGGTAGGGAGAAAAGTGCATCAGGGAATGACTGGAAACCCTAAGTCTTTGTAAACTTTGGTTAAAATGAATTTAAAAAAAAAAGATAAAGAAAGGAATAAAAAGAACTATGAGACCAATAAAGTACAATCATAATTTTTTAAAAAAAATCCTGTAACTCTTCTTTTTATCAAACTAATTTCAATTGTTGTTGTTATTGTTGCCTATTATTACTGCTGTTGTGTGTGGTGAAGTTTGTTTCAACTTATAGTGATCTTCAAGGACCAGGAACAAACTCCACAGAGTTTCCTAAATTGTGATCGCTTTGTGAGCTGTTACTTTGATCTGTGCTCCTTCAAAATGACTGGGAAGAGGTTCCGTTTGCAGAACCAAGTTCACAACCAAGAACTTACCTATTGTGGTACCAGTACTTGTTTTGAGGGAACAAATCTGTTGCCATCAAGTTGACCCTAACTCAGTTACACTCTGTTGCTGTTGTTAAGTGCCATCAAATCAAATCATACTCATAGTGACCCTGTGAACAACAGATCTGAACCCTGTCCTATCCTGTGCCCTCCTCACAAACTCTGACACACTCAAGCCCTTTGCTGCAGTTACTGTGTCAGTCCACCTGGTTGAAGGACTTCCCCTTCTTTGCCATCTCTCCACCTTTGCAAGCATGATGTCTTCTCCAAGGGGTAACTTCTCTTTGCAACATGCCCAAAGTATGCAAGATGAAGTTTCATTATCTTTGCCTCTAAGGAGCATTCTGTCTGCACCTTCTACGAAATGTTTCTGTTTGTTATTTTGGCAATTCAAGGGATTGTATTAACTGTGGATCCAGGTAAGATAAAGTAGGACGATACAGTCCAGCACTCTTCTCCTATGCCACAGTTCTAAGACATCAGTTCTTCATCTGTCATCCTTATCCGTTGTCCAGCTCTCAGAATGTATAACAGATGACTGAAAAGACTAAGGTTGAATCAGGATGTTAGTACTCAAACTGACATCATTGCTCGTCTATAATTTGGAGAGGTCCCTGACTACAGACTTTTCTGGGACTGATATTGTGTGTGTGTGTGTGTGTGTGTGTGTGTGTGTGTGTACCGTCAAATCAGATCTGACTGGTACAGGAGGAGATTGTCCCTCCCTCCTTTTCCCGGCAGAGCATGTGGTGGATTCGAACCGTGCACCTCTGGGATTGTAGTTGCAGCTCCTTGCCACTAGGCCACCAGAGCTCCCCAAGGGACTGATCTTTCGACTACTGGTACCAAGTGGATTAATTGTGGATCCAAGTAAGATAAGTAGGAGGGTACAGTAAAAGCACCCGATAGAATCTCCAGTGCTGTAAATCTTTACAGCAGCAGTTGTTTGCACTTTTCTCTTGAAGAGCACCTCGCTTGCTAGTGTGATGTTGAATCACCAACCTTTCAGTTTGGAGCTAAATGCTTATTCACTGTGACATCAAAGGATCCTCAGTGAGAGGGAACTTAAGAGATTTTAATTTTTCATCAGCCCTTTTTATGATCCGACATCACCAGAGCTGCTGTTCATGTATTTAGAGCGCTGCAAATGTGATTATAATCTAAATTTAGAACATTTTAACACCTCAAAAACCTAATGCCTATTAGCAGACACTGACTGTTTTTCTTCTGTCCCATCGCCCATCTCTAACCAACCATTGTACTGTCTACAGTTACCTGTCCTGGATATTTAATATAAATGGAATCAATAGGGTTTTTTTGTTTGTTTAATTTTTTATTTTATTTTTTTATTTCAATGGACATCTACAGAGATTTTGGAATTCTATTCATTCATTGTTGTACTTTTCTCCCCGCCCACCCCACCCCTGAAATCAGTAGTTTTTTAAAAAGTCTTTTATGATTGACTTCTTTCCCTCAGCACAGTGTTCTCAAGGTCATCGATGTGATAGCATGTTTCAGCATTGTATTCTTTTCCTTTTTATTGCCAAATAATTCTCCCTTGAATGGATATACCACACTTTGTCTATTCATTCGTAAGTTGAAGAACATGTGAGTTATTTATGTTTTCACTATTTGTTTTGAACAATGCTACAATGGACCTTCATTTGTTTATCTTTTTCTTGAATATCCTACCTAGAAGTAGAAACTATGGCTCATATCATAGCTCTCTGTTTAAGTTTTGAAGAACAACCAGACTGTTTTACAAAGTAAATGTACCGTTTTGTATTCCTCCATGCAGTGCCTCAGTGTTCCTTCTGGTACCTTTTCATCTTCAACACCGTCTGTCATTGTCTGAAATTTTATTACAGCCATTTAATAGATAATGCCATGATTTTGCATTTGTATTTTTGTAATGGCCAGTGATATTTTTATGTTCACTAGCTGTTTATCTCTTTTGACTGGAGAAGTGTCTAATCAAATTATTTGCTCATTGAAAAAATGTTGGGATTGTACAAATTCTTACTTATTGTTAAGAGTCCTGTGTATATTCTCAGTTACCTTGGTAGGTATATGGAAGTCTGTGATTCAGTTTAAATTAATTCTGTACATTCTGTGAGGTAGGGATCCAGCCTCTTTTTTTTCCTTTTGGGTAGCCACTTGACATAGCACCCTTTACTTGAAAAGACTGTTTCCTAAATGAATAGTGTTGAACGCTTCTTAAGTCATGTTATCTTTTTATCATGGTAGTCTTTTAATTTGCCTTCTCTGTATTGGTTTTCAGGTTGCCTGTCAAGCGTTCCACAAATGAAGAAGATTTCCACATCCTATGAGGAAAGACGGAAGCAAGCTACTGCTATTGTTCTGCTGGGAGTCATCGGAGCGGAATTTGGTGCTGAAATTGAACCTCCCAAACTGTTGACCCGACCTCGAAGCTCCAGTCAAATTCCAGAGGGATTTGGCTTGACCAGTGGTGGATCCAACTACTCCTTGGCCAGACACACTTGTAAGTTTTCACATCTTTAAGGCTCATACCTTGCTTCTCAACCTGTATTATTCCTCAACAGACTCACACACACAGAAAAAAAATACTCTGAAAATAACCTCATACACAATATTGAGGGGAAGTTAGAAAACGTTATACTCTGAATGTTACTTTTTAAAAATTTTTCTTTATTTTTTACTTTTTTAAAATTTTATTTTAATAATTTTAATGAACATTTACAGAAATTTTGGATTTGCATTCATTGTTGCACTTTTCTTCCTGCCCAGGAATTGAATTGAATTGTCTCCATTGAGTTTATCTTGAAATCTTCTGCTAGCACTCTCCTGATTGGGGTATAGAAAAAGAACTGTGCCTAACTTGGGTTCTTTCAGATCACTCATCCATAATGTTAATCTGGAATAATGTCTCTATGCTTGGAAGCTGCTGTATATGTTGTCAGGTAGCCTTCTCATGTCATATTTAAAAATGTATCACCCATAGCTGTTGCCTTCAAGTTGTTTTTGACTCATAGGGATAGGGACCCTACGTTGTTGTTGTTGTTTGATGCCGTGGAGTCGTAGACGACTCATAGCGACCCTATGAACGAACGGCCTGAGCACTGTTTGTACATAGAGCTTCCAGAGGCAAGCCATTTCGGAAGTGGATGTCGCTCCTGCTTCCAGGCTTTATTTAGTCAGGAAGCTCCAGCCAACACTGTCCACCATGGGTACCCGTTACCATGATTGGCACATCACTGTCACAGTCTTCAGCATCACAGCAACCACGAGTTACCTCTGTACAGCAACGCACAGACCAGTGGTATACCACCTAGAAGAATGTTTGACAGGAAGACAATTTGAACCTGGCTGAGGGCCACAGATGAAAATCACACACCTTCGGCTTGGTAGCATAGCTTCCTTTCCACTAGGGAAATATATGATAGTTTGTTCCTGTAAAGATTAACAAACTTGAAAATGCTATGTGACCCTCTTTGTTGAGGGTTGTTGTTGTTGTTATGTGCCGTCGAGTTGCCTGCGACTCATAGCGACCCTATGTACAACAGCCCTAAACTCTGCTCTGTCCTGTGCCAATCGCACTGTCTCTTACACGCCCATCCCAATTATCCCAGTCACTGAATCAATCCACCTCATAGAGGGCCTTCCTCTCCTGTGCCGTCCCTCCACCCTCCCAAGCATGATGTCCCTCTCTAAGGACCGGTCTCTCCTCACAACATATCCAAAGTAAGTTAGACGGAGCCTCAGAATCCTTGCCTCCAAGGAGCCACCCGGTTTAACCCTCTCCAGGACAAATCTGTTTGTTTTCCTAGCAGTCCATGGTATTGTCAATACTCTTCTCCAGCACCACAGCTCAAAGGCATCAATTCTCCTTCTATCCTCCTTGGTCATTGTCCAACTCTCTGATGCATAACAGGTGATTGCGAAGACCATGGCCTGTATCAGACGCACCTTAGTCTCCAGAGAGACACCACTGCTCTTCAGCACTTTGGAGAGGTCCCTAACAGCTGACTTTCCCATGGCAATGCGCCTTTTAATTTCCTGGCTGCTGGTGCCAAGACGGTTGACTATGGAGCCAAGCAAACTAAAGCTGTGTACAATCTCAATCTCTTCACCATCCATCCTGATGCTGCCAGTTGGTCCAGTGGTGAGAATCTTTGTCTTCTTGACATTGAGCCTTAATCCATATTGTAGGCTGCAGTCCTTGACACTCTGCAGCAGGCCCTTCAGGTCCTCCTCAGTTTCAGCAAGCAGGGTTGTGTCATCCGCATAACACAGATTGTTGATAATTCGTCCACCAATCTTGACCCCACATTTCTCCTCATAGAGCCCAGCCTCCCGGATAATCTGTTCTGCATAATAGAAAAGGTATGGAGATAGGATGCATCTCTGGCATACGCCCTTCCCAATTTTGAACCATGCAGTGTTCCCTTGCTCTGTTCTGACGACTGCCTCCTGGTCCAAGTATAAGTTTCGCATTAGAACGATCAAGTGTTCTGGGATTCCCCTTCTTCTCAGAGTCAGCCACAGTTTGTTATGATCTACACAGTCAAATGCCTTTGCATAGTCAATGAAACACAGATAGACATTCCTCTGGTATTCCCTGCTTTCAGTCAAGATCCATCTAACATCAGCTACAATATCTCTAGTACTACGACCCCTTCTGAAACCAGCCTGGACTTCTGGTAGTTCTCTGTCGATGTGCTGTTCCAGTCGTTTTTGGATAATCTTCAGTAAAATCTTGCTTGCATGTGAAATCAGTGAAATTGTTCTGTAGTTTCCACATTCAGTTGGGTCGCCTTTCTTTGGGATAGGAACAAATATCGACCTCTTCCAGTCAGTTGGCCAAGTGGTCAGACCCTATAGGACAGAATAAAACCATCACATAGCATTTTCAAGTTTGTTAATCTTTACAGGAACAAACTATCATGTATTTCCCTTTTCAAGTCTCCAGTAGATTTGAACCATCCGCCTTGTGGTTAGCTGCCAAGTGTCAACCAGTGTACCATGAGAGCTCCTTTAGAATGCATTCCTACCAAATATTTACTCATTATGGCATCCTAGAGAAGAGATAATAACAATTGTCCTCATTTTGAGATAAGGCCATTAAGGTACAATATTTGATGAACTTTAATTGCTAAGCAGTTAGAGTTGTAGATAGTGAGTTCTAGCCTTCCTTAACAAAGACATTCAAAGCCTTCTGTGGTCTGTGAAAACTGAGAAGGTACTTAAATCCCAATTATCCATATCGGTGGGAAGGGAGAATGACTGGGATGCCTAGCTCAAACATGGTTTTAAAATATATCTTTTCTTTACCTGTATTTAAATACAGATGATTCTTTTGTGGAAGTTACACTTTGCACACAGTATAAAAATCACATGCTAAAGAAAAACCTCAAGAACACTTTGTTACCCCTACGCATACTAAGTATCCCTTCTGATCACAATCTGTTGCATAAAATATAAGGCAAGGACTATTCCATTTGGACCATCTCTTCTGGGTCTAGTTTTTCTTCTGAAGCAAAATATCTGGGTTCTCTTCTGTTTCATTGCTACACATCCAGTACAGAGCCTTCATTTGCTCCCCCGACCCACTCGTGGGGTGTCCTGAGCATGTTTCACTGGGAATATTAGCTTTTAGGTCGTTTGATGATTCTTTCATTCATCTCTTCCTCTAATTTTATGGTTGGCGAATGATGCTAGCACATCTGGAGTAAATCCTGTCTTGAGTGTTAATGATCTCTTTTTACTTTGGGCAAGTGTCAGATGTCACAGGAGGCTACAGACTCAGATTTGAATGCAGGTGTGTTCTCACAATAATACCTTCAAAGGCATGAAGGAGGCAGGAGGGGCCGGAGGAGAAGCTGAAATTGCATTTAGTGTAGAAAGCAATGGCAATACAATTGCTATGTTGTTGTTATTTCATTTCAGAGGAACATTCTTCTAAGTTGTACAGCATTCTTATTTCAGTTTGCTATCCTAAAATAATCTGGGTATGTTGTGAAGCCGAACCTTGTGCCATTGGGGGCCATAACATAACAGCTGCCCATAGTGGACAGTGTTTGGTGGAGGTCCCAGTTTTAAGACAGGTTTGGAAGCAGGAGTGACATTCAATTCCTAAACCATATGCCTCTGGAAACTCTATGAACCTGGAAAAATGACAATGGTTATAGAAAGACTTCAGGCCTTTTGTTCATAGGGTCACTGTGAGTCGTCCTCATCTTGGCAATGATCAACAACAACAACAGTGTAGAAAGCCTCCATGGACATCCTCAAGGAGTCCTGGTGTTGACTGGTCGTTCAGAATTATGTTGAATTGGAGATTGGGACTCAAGCTCTATATTACCATGTCATTGGGTGAGGCTTGTCCTGGACAGGGAATCTGCCTGTCTGTCTACCTACCTATCTCCCTATCCACACAGATACACACTCAAATAATACTGTATTTTTATAACTCTTTTCTTTTAGTTAAATTCCTGTACATTTATGATATTTGTGTTCCATTTAAACATGTCAACATACTAAGCTTAGATCAGATGGAAATTCAGAATTCTTATTTTATTTTTGCTCATAAATAAGTTATATGTGCAGCAACTTTATCATTTTTAGCCGAGTTCTGACACTTGCATTACAGACCCTATCTTGGTGATGTAACCTCATACTCATTCTCTATAAATAGCTTTAATTTTTCCTCCTTCTTTGCTAGCTCCTTGCATTCTGAGCTTTGGGTTCCTCTTCCATAAAGTGAGTAATCTGCACAAAGTTATTATTGAGACCACTTCCTTCTAAAAGTATCCATGGGATTCATTAGTATTCCAGTGCTACAGTGGGCGTAGTGCTACCTTTTGAACTTGGCCACGTGTATTTGGATTGCTCTCTCTCCAGCTACCCTCTCTACGGCGGTGGCAATGACAGAAGCTGAGCATTTCTAAAGTTTCTATGTGCCCTTTCATACAGATGCCTCATATCACCTTCTGCAGCAGTTGTTTCCACGTTTAACTCTGGCTCCACACATGCCCAGCTTCCTGGACCTATGTTAGGTGGAATATAACTTATACTGTATACCAAACCCCAGTCCTTGGACCAAACCTAGCCTCCCACCTGTGTGGTAAATAAAATTTTATTAGAACACAGCCACAGCTACTGTTTGGATACTGTCTGTGACTGTTTCATGCTACACTGGCAGAGCTGAGCAATTGCTGCATTCCTGCAAAATGGAACAGAGGTCCAACTATTTACTAAAATTTACCAACCTCTGAAAATTTTGTTGGTGGTTCTTTCTTTATCTATAATATGTTGTTGCTGTTGTTGTTATGTGCCGTCGAGTCGTTTGCGACTCATAGCAACCCCATGTACAATAGTCCTAAACCCTGCTCTATCCTGTGCTCATCTCATTGCCTCCTACACACCCATCCCGATTACCCCAGTCACTGAATCAATCCACCTCATAGAGGGTCTTCCCCTCCTGCGCTGTCCCTCCACCTTACCAAGCATGATGTCCCTCTC